GGTTTCTGCCCCGAAATAACATGGACTACATGGAGAATGGTTTTTGCCTTTTGGAGCGACATGAGGGATTACGCCTTCTACCGTTGGTTACCATGTAACTCTGCGCTTTAATTGATTAAGATTTTTTATGTATACCGTTTATAGTTTAATTTAGTACTATTTGCGCTGATGATGGCCCAAAAAAAAAGGGCCGAAACGTCCGCCATTCGCGAATCATGTAATTAAAGAAATTCTAATTTATTTCTTGGTTTAAAATTATATACCTTTGCGCCCAAAAAACTGCGCGTGGCTCTTTTGCCTTTTTATTCGGAGTTTGATTTTAGTTTTATAATGTTAAGTTTTACTTTTTCTGGAAAATTAAATAATTAAAGAAAATAATAAAAATATAATTATAGTTGTAAAGACAAACAAAACATTGTTTTCAAAACATAAACTGTGAATTCGAAATGAAAATTTTTCAAAGTTATAATGAACTTAATAATAAACTTAATATCTGTTAATAAACTCAATAACTTTATACTTAATATTTAATAATAAACTTAAAGTTAATAACCAACATAAAAAATTTTTCGTTTTTATAATAGATTCTATTTTTTTCGTGTTAATTCAGCATTTTTATTATGCATATATTTTCTTTTTCTGATTTTGTCTTTGCGCTGATTGTCAATCCAGGATTTTAATTGTTCAGGAGTTCTTCTTCTCAAGCAACTATTTTGTTGAATCAAAGCTCTACATTTTCCCAGTGATGGTAATTTGAGCAGCTTACTAATATCGCCCAAGTTTTTCCTAATAACTTTTTTTTCCATTTCTGTCCATTTAATACGTTTTACTGATCTTTGCTGTAAGACTGTAATTAAAATTCAACTTATTACACATTAATAAAAAAAATTTTGTACAAAATTATAAAAATTAATATTCAGGTAAAAAATAGCAGTATACATTTATAAAAAACATTAATATAAATAAACAAATAATAATAATAAATTGTTCATAAACTTACAGCTTGAGCAATGAGTACTGGAATTTAAAATTTCATCGTCACTATCATCATCATAATTTAATACACATTTGCGAGTACGTTTTCTCGAAGGTTGTGATTGAGATTCATCATCAATAATATTGACATTATTATTACCATTACAAAAATCATCATCACTCGATGCATTTTCTGTTTGCATATTGTCATCTTTGGTATCATCTTTGGTTTGGCCATTTTCTTCATTACTATCTTCATTCTCATCGTTATCGCCTATTGCAGCTTGCAGCAAACGAGATACTTCAGTCATGTCAATCAGTCCATTAGGGACTCGATACACATCCTTGTGGATTTGTTTATCATGTCCCATAAAATTTGCTAGATCAGAAACTTGATTTTCCTCTACTCGCAACATAGCAGTGTAAGTAGCGATATGCTTTCGAAGCATAGTACCTCGTAAACTAGTAGGGATCGATGCATCACAGGCATTAGCAAACTTTCGCATTATATAACAAGCTCTGATATAACCTTTCTTCGGAGAGTTTTTTACTCCAGGTACAGCAAAGACTACTTATTTTTTGGGATTACTCCAGCTTCAGAACGATATTTGAGTAAAACATCGATGTATGAAATTAAAAATGTATGCAATAATACGGGGACAGTTCTCCCTAACTTGCCTCTTATAGTTAATCGAACAAATTGCTTGGCTTGTTTTTGAGACTCTTTTGATATATTATCAAATATATCAAGATTGAAAACTTTGTCAATCGTCTCTTGATTTTCATAGTTTTCATTGGAGAGTCTTTCAATTTCACCAGCTCTTCGTCGATTAAACATTTGAACGAGAATAAGACTGCCTTCTGATAATTTTCTCCATGCATTAAGATCAAATTCTTTCTGAAGAATTTCCATCGCTTCTTCACATAAATTTTTTGTATAGTTATACAATTTTTGGATGTCTGATTTTGAAGGAAGGATAATTTGTTTTTCTCGCCGTTTATTTGTCTGATCCTCTATAACTTTTTTATTAATTGTCACTGGGTAATCATTTTCAAATAACACCATAAAATCATCAACAGCCTTTTTTCCATCAAAATCTTCTCGTTTAATATATTCAGCAGCTTGTATACGAGCACACTTCTTCAACATTGTCCCTAGAGTAGTTGCGTTATAAGATGTTTGAAAAATCTGTGATACTGAATCATAATTTGCACATATTTTTACAGCCTTTATAACGTCATCGTAATATCGAGGATGGAAAATGGATGCGAAATCAGTTACTTTCTTGTTAATTTCTTTGATTGTTAATTTGAATTTACTAAGAAGCCGTAGATTATTTCTGATCATATCATACTGATGAGGAAGTGTGTAAGTGTTGCATAATTTATTCCCGAATAAAATCAGAAGTTCATCGTATTTAATTGACCTTGAAACATCGTCATCTTGGAATGATGGGAAAATTTTTCGACGCATCACATTGTCAGCACGACAATGTATATATCCCATTAACTGTTTTCCTTTCACAAGTTGATCCTTTTGACCTTTCTCATAAATTGGGTTACATTTTTTGTATGCAGTCTTAAAGTCTTTTTAGAAAAAAATCCTTTGCGATGACTGCAACAAACATAGCTTTCGGCGGTATTATTATATTTCGCTTGAGGACGTCGACAAGCTATGAGAACTCCCGTATTTAAATCGGCATCAGTGTTATGAAGAAAATTCCCATATTTTGCAAAACTTCATATGAATCTAACAATTAATAATTAGAATTTAGCATCAAGCAAATATGTGTAAAATATATTGATATTATAATAATAAATATAACCAAATTTTTAAAGTAAATAGTTGTCTGTCCCCAAACTATACTCTTCATAAAACTTATCTAATAGGTTATATTTAGATATTATTAAAATTAACTTACCATCAGTGTTTAATAAATAACCTTGGTATGATGATCCTTTTGTTTTAATCAAACAAGTTTCTCCTTGAACGATTTTCACTTTCTTTGAAAGAGTTATGAGGTATTCCTGATTATCAAATTTTACTAACGAATACATGACTGAAAGAATTGCTTAGCTAATATATATCCTCATAAAAATCCTGACTAAAAGTCTAAGTAGGGAAGAATACAATATCTTTATTTGGACGGCAAAACAATTATTATAGCAATGACAACTATCGACTCATCTTCAGCCTGGGAGAGCATGCTGGCACAGACGGGACAATGCGGTGATGCCAAAACTGAGACGCAAGCAACATGCGCACAAGCGAAAACCGCGTACATGTGAGCTCAGCGCTTCGAATAGCAAAAGAGAACAGATATATTCTGTCTCCTTTCTACCGAGCCGGCAACGGGCGATGTTCTCTTCTCGATACGCGTGATAGCGTTAAATGTTTTTTTACAATTTTTTTGTGTTACATATTAAATGTTTTTTTACAACCTTCTTACATTATGTATTACATGATTTTTACAATCTTTTTGCATTATGTATCAAATGGTTTCTATAATCTTTCGGTATTATATATTTATACCAAAGTTATAAAAAAAGATATATTGATACGTTAAAATAATACTGTTCTAATTAATATATTTATTTTTTATTTAAATGCGCCCAAAAAACTGCGCGTGGCTCTTTTGCCTTTTTATTCGGAGTTTGATTTTAGTTTTATAATGTTAAGTTTTACTTTTTCTGGAAAATTAAATAATTAAAGAAAATAATAAAAATATAATTATAGTTGTAAAGACAAACAAAACATTGTTTTCAAAACATAAACTGTGAATTCGAAATGAAAATTTTTCAAAGTTATAATGAACTTAATAATAAACTTAATATCTGTTAATAAACTCAATAACTTTATACTTAATATTTAATAATAAACTTAAAGTTAATAACCAACATAAAAAATTTTTCGTTTTTATAATAGATTCTATTTTTTTCGTGTTAATTCAGCATTTTTATTATGCATATATTTTCTTTTTCTGATTTTGTCTTTGCGCTGATTGTCAATCCAGGATTTTAATTGTTCAGGAGTTCTTCTTCTCAAGCAACTATTTTGTTGAATCAAAGCTCTACATTTTCCCAGTGATGGTAATTTGAGCAGCTTACTAATATCGCCCAAGTTTTTCCTAATAACTTTTTTTTCCATTTCTGTCCATTTAATACGTTTTACTGATCTTTGCTGTAAGACTGTAATTAAAATTCAACTTATTACACATTAATAAAAAAAATTTTGTACAAAATTATAAAAATTAATATTCAGGTAAAAAATAGCAGTATACATTTATAAAAAACATTAATATAAATAAACAAATAATAATAATAAATTGTTCATAAACTTACAGCTTGAGCAATGAGTACTGGAATTTAAAATTTCATCGTCACTATCATCATCATAATTTAATACACATTTGCGAGTACGTTTTCTCGAAGGTTGTGATTGAGATTCATCATCAATAATATTGACATTATTATTACCATTACAAAAATCATCATCACTCGATGCATTTTCTGTTTGCATATTGTCATCTTTGGTATCATCTTTGGTTTGGCCATTTTCTTCATTACTATCTTCATTCTCATCGTTATCGCCTATTGCAGCTTGCAGCAAACGAGATACTTCAGTCATGTCAATCAGTCCATTAGGGACTCGATACACATCCTTGTGGATTTGTTTATCATGTCCCATAAAATTTGCTAGATCAGAAACTTGATTTTCCTCTACTCGCAACATAGCAGTGTAAGTAGCGATATGCTTTCGAAGCATAGTACCTCGTAAACTAGTAGGGATCGATGCATCACAGGCATTAGCAAACTTTCGCATTATATAACAAGCTCTGATATAACCTTTCTTCGGAGAGTTTTTTACTCCAGGTACAGCAAAGACTACTTATTTTTTGGGATTACTCCAGCTTCAGAACGATATTTGAGTAAAACATCGATGTATGAAATTAAAAATGTATGCAATAATACGGGGACAGTTCTCCCTAACTTGCCTCTTATAGTTAATCGAACAAATTGCTTGGCTTGTTTTTGAGACTCTTTTGATATATTATCAAATATATCAAGATTGAAAACTTTGTCAATCGTCTCTTGATTTTCATAGTTTTCATTGGAGAGTCTTTCAATTTCACCAGCTCTTCGTCGATTAAACATTTGAACGAGAATAAGACTGCCTTCTGATAATTTTCTCCATGCATTAAGATCAAATTCTTTCTGAAGAATTTCCATCGCTTCTTCACATAAATTTTTTGTATAGTTATACAATTTTTGGATGTCTGATTTTGAAGGAAGGATAATTTGTTTTTCTCGCCGTTTATTTGTCTGATCCTCTATAACTTTTTTATTAATTGTCACTGGGTAATCATTTTCAAATAACACCATAAAATCATCAACAGCCTTTTTTCCATCAAAATCTTCTCGTTTAATATATTCAGCAGCTTGTATACGAGCACACTTCTTCAACATTGTCCCTAGAGTAGTTGCGTTATAAGATGTTTGAAAAATCTGTGATACTGAATCATAATTTGCACATATTTTTACAGCCTTTATAACGTCATCGTAATATCGAGGATGGAAAATGGATGCGAAATCAGTTACTTTCTTGTTAATTTCTTTGATTGTTAATTTGAATTTACTAAGAAGCCGTAGATTATTTCTGATCATATCATACTGATGAGGAAGTGTGTAAGTGTTGCATAATTTATTCCCGAATAAAATCAGAAGTTCATCGTATTTAATTGACCTTGAAACATCGTCATCTTGGAATGATGGGAAAATTTTTCGACGCATCACATTGTCAGCACGACAATGTATATATCCCATTAACTGTTTTCCTTTCACAAGTTGATCCTTTTGACCTTTCTCATAAATTGGGTTACATTTTTTGTATGCAGTCTTAAAGTCTTTTTAGAAAAAAATCCTTTGCGATGACTGCAACAAACATAGCTTTCGGCGGTATTATTATATTTCGCTTGAGGACGTCGACAAGCTATGAGAACTCCCGTATTTAAATCGGCATCAGTGTTATGAAGAAAATTCCCATATTTTGCAAAACTTCATATGAATCTAACAATTAATAATTAGAATTTAGCATCAAGCAAATATGTGTAAAATATATTGATATTATAATAATAAATATAACCAAATTTTTAAAGTAAATAGTTGTCTGTCCCCAAACTATACTCTTCATAAAACTTATCTAATAGGTTATATTTAGATATTATTAAAATTAACTTACCATCAGTGTTTAATAAATAACCTTGGTATGATGATCCTTTTGTTTTAATCAAACAAGTTTCTCCTTGAACGATTTTCACTTTCTTTGAAAGAGTTATGAGGTATTCCTGATTATCAAATTTTACTAACGAATACATGACTGAAAGAATTGCTTAGCTAATATATATCCTCATAAAAATCCTGACTAAAAGTCTAAGTAGGGAAGAATACAATATCTTTATTTGGACGGCAAAACAATTATTATAGCAATGACAACTATCGACTCATCTTCAGCCTGGGAGAGCATGCTGGCACAGACGGGACAATGCGGTGATGCCAAAACTGAGACGCAAGCAACATGCGCACAAGCGAAAACCGCGTACATGTGAGCTCAGCGCTTCGAATAGCAAAAGAGAACAGATATATTCTGTCTCCTTTCTACCGAGCCGGCAACGGGCGATGTTCTCTTCTCGATACGCGTGATAGCGTTAAATGTTTTTTTACAATTTTTTTGTGTTACATATTAAATGTTTTTTTACAACCTTCTTACATTATGTATTACATGATTTTTACAATCTTTTTGCATTATGTATCAAATGGTTTCTATAATCTTTCGGTATTATATATTTATACCAAAGTTATAAAAAAAGATATATTGATACGTTAAAATAATACTGTTCTAATTAATATATTTATTTTTTATTTAAAGTATATAAAAATATTGGGATAAAATATATATTTTCATTATTTCAATAACTATTTTATTAACAAAAATTATTTAATTGATTCTAATAATATACATTTTTTATTTTATATA